GAAGATGACTTGGGAGAGGGCTAATGACGTGGGATGGAATGTGACAATGCAGCCCCTGGAAGAAAGCTCATGTACGCCATGCATTATGCATCGGTTTTTTGTGCGTCACTCTTCTTGATTTATCTCCTTTTTGTATAAATATTCAGAGTGGTTTTAGGGGGAGCGCTATGAAAATCCTCACCCACTTTTATTATCAAATGGGAAGGACAGAATCCTTCATGCTTAAAGCAATTCATTTCAACTCCTACACATTCGCTGTGGTGTTGATCCAAATTTCCCATGGGTTTTTAATACCCTGAACTGAATTTCAAATTTCATTTCTGGTGCATGCATGTATGCATTGTAACATGTCAGAAAATGGTTGCAGGAGGTGTTATCTGGTTTCAGAGTTGCAAATTTATCTGCTCCATTTTAATTTCTTCCCAAATGATTGCTGGCTATACTGCATTTGAGGAAGAAAAAAAAAAACTGTTTCTTAGTGTGTGTTTAGTTCTTAGGAATATTTGCCCATGTGGGTGGATACATGTAGTTCACATTAATTTCAAGTACTTTTAAAGACCCTGTGTGAAGTGAAAGATTAAATAGATAAATTATATATCAACGGAAAGCTTCTAAGCCATAGATTACACTAATATCAATTACTGTATATGCTATTTTAGTGTGTGTCAGATTAGGGGTGTGAAAAAAATGAGTTTTTAATTTGCTGTTGTGCAATAATGGAAGGGAAAATGACTTTTATTCCTTTATATTTGTATTCTACATACACGTACAATCATTCATTCGGTATATCCATTGATAGATATAGTTGTATTTTCATTTGATAGGGTCTTTATTGCATTTTCATGCATTAAACATGGGGTAAACAAGCACACCAGAAAGATTAATTCACACTGTAGCTTGTAGAAGCTAGAAATGTCATGTGATGCTTTAAATGTATTTGCTCCATGTGCCTGTATGCCAGTGTACGGTTCAATTCATAGTTTAAGTATAAATTCTATACATCATAATTGTGTAGATATATTTCTTTCCGTGTTCAACTTTTTCATGGATATCGATCTTCGTGCCCTAAAATCTTTGACAGGATTTCTAAAAAATCATCGCCAAAGGAATTATTATTATCATACAATTGCAAAATACATTGCATGTACATTTTCATTTCATTTTTGATGTTTTTCAAAACAAGGTTTGTAACAGTTGGACATAGGCTTTCTCTTTCAATATCGCATCACTCACTATTGTGAACACGCTCCAACCAGTAATTGGCTCTTCATGAGAAGTGTTGCAAGCCCACCCGTCCCCTGTCCCCCCTCCGCCCCCCTATAAATGCAATTCAATATAACAAAGTTATTCGTCTTTTGGGAAATGTTCCAACGAGAGTGGATTAATGAGATGTGCAACATGCTTGAAATCACTTGTGGAATGAGCTCTTGTGAAACTACTCTAGTGACTGTTGAATTAATATCCTCCCACTTCATTTGTCTGCCCAAATTATTCACACACTGTCTCAGTCTCTCTCTCTCTCTCTCTCCACTGTCTAGATCTATCTGATTTTACCCCGTCTGTCGTCTGTCTCTGTCTCTCTGTCTCTCTTTCCCTTTCTCTTTCTGAGATGTCTCACTCTCTACATACCTGTACCTCTCTCACACTCTCTCACTTTCTCTTTCTCTTTCTGAGATGTCTTACTATCTACATACCTCACTCACACACACACACTCTCTCTCTCTCTCTCTCTCTCTCTCTCTCTTTCTCTCTTTCTGAGATGTCTCACTCTATACATAACTCTCTCACACACTCTAAATCTCTCTTTCTCTTTGTCTTTCTCTTTCTCTTTCTGAGATATCTCAAGCTCTACATACCCCTCTCTTTCTCTCTTTCTCTCTTTGTCTTTCTCTTTCATTTCCTCATCCTTCCACTGTCATCGTCGCACCCCATTTAAGTTCTATCCGAGCACTAGGCCGTAATGATGCACGAGAGCGTGTCCTGCCACTCTCACGCTTGATCTGATAGAGATGCAATTGACTTTCCCCCATCGAGAAACATCTTAAGGGTCAACAGCATTGGGGCCCAAAGTAATCGTCCATGATTTCTAATCACGTGCAAATGTGGTGAACAGGGTACGTTGAAAGACTGTCCTGAAAAAGGACTGTCCTCATCAGCTCGTGTTTGCCAAATAACCCACTATTTTAACTTTCCCGATCGCAAATTAACCAGATAATTTGCGTCTTCATGAGACCACAGTTGCAATTAGCAGGCTATTTGGTCGAGGAAATTACCTGAGAAATCTTGGTCTTGTTTCCAAAAAATCCCGCTATATGGGAAATAGCAGGCTAATTTGCGCTCGTCCGAGCTAGTTTGTGATGGGCATATTGGTCTGATCAAGACGCAATTTCGAGCTTTGGGATGATATCCCGAGTCTGAAAATAGCGGGTTATTTGGCAAACTTGAGCTGATGAAGACAGGCTGAAAGACTTGTGGGGTACTCTGCCGTCACGTTTTTAGCCGGCCTAATCAAGAGGCCTTGTTTCAACTGTCTCGTTGGGTATGAGGGCAACGTGCGATGTAACCACTTGATTTGTTTTTCCCTATGGAGAGTATAATGCTGGTTGATGGAAAGGGTCTTTCTTATTAAGATACACAATGACTTGTTTGTGTTCAGGGTGGAGAGGGGTGGAGGGGGGGAGGAGGTTGTGCAAAGTTGTGCAAAGTCAAAGCTGGCAATGTACATCATTAAAGGGTGTTACATGTATGCAATTGCCACAGAGACTAACACATGACATTCATAAAGAAAATCACCATGCTATTTAGAATTACTGATTAATTATATCCTACTGTACTCTGATAATCAATGTATTTATATTGAATATGTACAACACGTACAACATGTTTACCTTTGCATTTTAATATTCATCAGCTTTGTGGACAATATTGATCCATCTTTCCTTCCCATTTGGCTGAAGAAGAAAACACATTTAATGTCGCCTATTTTCAAGAACAATGCTGAAGTTGGATACTCAGTTTTTCAGTGTCAACTCTCTCTCTCTCTCTTTCTCTCTCTCTCTCTCTCTCTCTCTCACTCTCGCTTTCTATATCTCTCTTTCCCTTTCTCTTTCTCTCACTTTCTATATCTCTCTCTTGCTTTCTATATCTCTTTTTCCCTCTCTCTGTCTCTCACTTTCTATATCTCTCTTTCCCTCTCTTTCTCTCTCACTTTCTATCTCTCTTCCTTGCTTTCTATATCTCTCTCACTTGCTTTCTATATCTCTCTTTCCCTCTCTCTGTCTCTCACTTTCTATCTCTCTCTCTTGCTTTCTATATCTCTCTTTCCCCTCTTTCTGTCTCTCTGTCTTTCTAGCTATCTCTTTCTCTCTTTCTCTTTCTCTCTCTCTCTTTCTCTCTTTCTCTTTCTCTCTCTCTCTTTCTCTCTCTCTCTCTCTCTCTCTCTCTCTCTCCTCTCTCTCTCTCTCTCTCTCTCACACACACACACACATACACCTCACTCCCTCCTTCCCTGCCCCCCTGCCATTCTCTCTCTTCCCTAAAGATTTGAACTTACCAAAGAAAGTCTGTGCCCCACATTGTTCTCAATGCAACCCACTTCACACTGACTGCAATGCTGCATTTGAAGAAAAAGAATTGCTACATCTTCACCAGAAGGCGTCAAATTTGTATCGATCATGATCCGTAATCAATACGCCTGTTTTCTCTAGCTACCTGGCTCCTTGGGCGTTTAAATCATCTTTTTTCTCGCAACCTCGCTCCTTGGGCGTTAAAACAATCTCAATCATCAATCGGGATGGAGAATTGGCTCTGGGAATAAAATAGAAAGGGCCATATATCTGGCAGATGTTTTTTGTTTCTTACATGTATCTCGCAGCCTTGCAAATTGTGATGGAAGCGCATTAAAGGGACAGCTTCATAGGCGTATCATTCACGTCTCATCTTCATATGAAAAGATGGACAATCATTCAGAATTGATGGAGAAAGGAAAAATGAGTGTGGAATCAATTATCAAAAATGTGTGAATAGCGTGTGACTATTTGATTGGTTTCTTTTTCAAAATGAAGTTTGTAAATGTTTTAAAAAGAAGAAAACAGCAAACAATAAAAGTCATTTTCTCATGTAGATGTAGATTTAGGAGCTTTATCCTGTGCCCTTGGGATGAAACTAGATGCAAATTGATTATTGTTCAAGCTGTCACAATTTTTTCGTTTGTGTGTGTACATGAATTCTCCTTTCTTCGGGAGACATACTAAAGTGACATTATTTGTTTCAGTTTATATTCTTCTCTTATACTTGCTGTTTTGTGCTATTCATGAAAATGTATACGGTAGTCACATGGATTGGAAAAGAACTGCAGGTTATTGTCATTTACATGTAGTTAATAATTTTTTTCCTAGCATCCATGCGACTCACTTCACACTTTACTGTTGTTTTGTATACACTTTTTAATTGATTTTGTCTTTGCAGAATAAAGTAATAAAAATGCATGACTCCCATGATGCGAATTTGGTCTCAAATTGAAATTGCATTGTAAATTACATGTAAGTTTCCCTCTATCTTTGTATTCAGACCATTCAGATATCTAAACTGCATTACCCAATAGTTGGACTTCTAGGTTAATTAAGTCTGTTTTATTTTGCTCTATTTGTATTCAGACCATTTAGATGTCTGAATCATTACGCCACTACTTGCCCGCACACACTGTGTGCACATTCTCCACTCCCTGGGGAGCATTCCAGCCAGGCGCCATGTTTACAAGCGCACACTTGCTCATCTAACCACATTAACTTTTGCGTCCTACCCGGTACCCATTTAACACCTGGGTGAAGAGTAGCAAATGTAGTCTTGCAAAAGGACATTAGTGCCACGGCGGGACTCATACCCCGTACCTTGTGATCTGCAGTCAGGTGACTTATCCACTAGACTGCAACACCTCTACTAGTTGGACTTCCTGGTTATTCAATTATATTTATATTATATTTCCATTTTTTTGTATTCAGACCATTTAGATGTCTGGACTGTTTGCTCCACTAAGACTACCAAGCAGGATTCCGTCCCTGGTTAGTCTCACCTCTATCCTGGTCCAAATCCAGCCAATCAGCTCTCTCATCACCGGCCAACAACCAATCAGCAACCACCACACGTCAAGCCCCGCCCACACACAGCAGAATCCCGCACCGGGCGTTTGGAGTGAGAGCAGGAGGGAAAGAGACCAGCCGGGGAACTGTCCAATCAGATTGGGAGAGAATTTGAATCGTCCAATCAGCAACCAGTACATGTGCGGTAATTCCTACTCCAGTATGGCCGCTTGCACTGGACCAGCCCTGTTGCCTTCCGCTAAGCACACAGCTACGGTCAGTATTGCAGGCCTGATAAAAACCTGATTTAAATCGTTTTTCTGATTTTTTTTTTGTTGTTGATTTTTCCCGATTTTTCCCCAAATTTTTTTATTCTTCCCGATTTAAAAAAAAAAAAAAAAAATTCTTCTTCCCTATTTTATCCTGATTTTTCCCAATTTTCTTACTCGAAAGGGGGGGGGGGGGGAATGTTGTTAGATGCCATTTTTTCTCGCAAATCCTCTTCTCTTTTTTTTACTCAAGGGGGGCGTGGTTGAGGGGAAAACAAAAAACCTATTTTTTTTAGTGCTCACTTTCACCCCTGATATTGATGTATAATAAATATATCCCAATCCCCCTAAACTATGAAACGGGCTATAGATGGAGGTGCGGGATGCCTCTTCTCATGATGTCTTTGGCCCGTGTTCTACTGATTCACTTAAACCTGACGCCTGGTCTTCACTGGTCCACCTCCCGGACGATTTTTATTGATGCGCAACCCCCTCACATAACCAACAGATGGCGCAGTCATCTTACAGCGCTCATTCACTTACTCCAGTGATTCACTTTCCCCGAAAAAAATGTTGTGGGAGTACGACTATTCTGCATGTGCCTATGTGTGTGTGTGTGTGTGTGTGTGGGCTGTGGGGTGTGCACTCAACCAGACGATAGCGAAATCATGCACAACAGTCCAGGGGCGGACTAGGTCTTTACTTGCTTTAGACAGGGCATAAGCCCCCCCCCCCCCCCCCCCCCCCAAAAAAAAAAAAATAAATAAAAAAAAAAAAAATAATAATAATAATAAATAAATAAATAAAAATAAAAGGGGGTTGAAGGAGAAAGGAGATATTTTACTTTTTCCTTCTTTGCTTTTCATAGACTTTTCTAACATTGTGCCCTCCCTCCTTCACCCATCCCTGCAGGCAATTAATCTTTCTCTTATTCAAGTGGTGTTTGTTAAATGGAAATAAAGAAATGAATTTTCCTTGCTGTCCAACTAAGGTCCATGTTTTGTTTAGTTTTAATTAAATATTGTATATTTCTATTTCATTTCTTTGTTGTGCAGGTGATATTTCTGCATGGACTTGGTGATCAAGGGTGAGTTTGTGCGTTTCAAATCAAAAGGTTGAGTCCTGGTAAAGTTGAAATAGTTTGTGACTTTCTGATTCTTTTTACATCTGTGTGGAAGATTATAAACCACTTGGCTGCGGACCACATATATGTACCGTAATTAACGGTGTATAAACCGCCCTCGTGTATTAACCGCACCCATCTTTTTCGCCCTAAAAAAAAAAAAATTTAATGTTTTTTTGCTGACTCTTTTTTGCCGACTCTGTCTGCAGCAAGCCAGGTCCGTGTTGAAAAACCCACGCGGGAAGGCCTTTCATTTAACTGCGAGGTGCAGCTGAATGTGTAAGATCATTAATGTAAATTAAAAAACAGTAGAGGACCAAGGATAGAACCTTGTGGTACGCCGTGTAATAGAAGAAAAATTGGAGGAATTATTATTATAAATTAAATATTGAGATCTATCAGAAAGATTACTTTCAAACCAAGATGACAGACAAATTTGAGTGTTGTTCTAGTTTCCTAGTGGTGAGTCAACACACCGATTACTGAGCTGGGAGACATTGCCAGGCATAGCGCCAGGTGGAGGGGCATGAATCGAAACTTTAAAATTGTTTTTAATTTTTTTGTTTGTTTTTTTGTTTTTTGTTGGTGTACCGTGTATAAACCACACCCCCTCCCCCCCCCCCCCCCCCCCCCGAATTTGATTTTTTTTTTTTTTTCGGGGGCAAAAAGGTTTACGGTAATACATTTGATGACAAAGAGATTGTGATTTCAGTGATTGTTTAGATATTTCAGAAGGCGAAGAGGGAGACTTTATGGATCTAGGGAGTGATTTTGATAATGAAAGTCAAAGCTCTGGTGATGAAAGTAATGTTGTAGATTGTAGTCCCACTAATTGGATGTTAGTGCAAGTAGCACAGTAGCACAGAGGGTATGAACACGTATTAGACCAACAGCAGTCAAGTGGTTAAAGAATAGTTGAGTTTTGGTATAGAGGACACTACATAAAATAATTTTTGTTGTGAGATGATGAAAAACTGAGTGTCAAATTTGAAAGAGCATACAATTTAAATGACAAAATCATCTTGATTTTGTTTGATCAAAATCGGTTCAGAGATGGCTGAAATATCCATAAATATAACCATTTTAAATATTTGTGGGGCCCCACAAATATTCTATTATTTTGAACCAGCCGTCGAAAAAACGAGATAGCGTCTTGTGCGTTTTATACCAGCCAATGCCAATGTTGGCTTTTTGTTGGCTTTTTTTGTTATAATACACACATTCTTCTTCTTCTTCTTGTTTGCTAACAGTCATGGCTGGTGTTCGTCATTTGAAGAGATCAAAGAGCCTCACATCAAATACATATTTCCTAATGCGTAAGTATATCTATAATATTTAAAAGCAGGATAATTAAGTACGGTAATTGGCATCACCTGTTCCTGGGTGGAAAAATCAAATTGAATCACGGTATCTCCCGGGTCTCTTCTCATGTTATAACTGATCGTCAAAAGTATTCAAAAAGTTGCATTACTCGCATTTTTAAGCTGTTTCGTAATACTTTATCAATCAGATATAATATGCCCGTCATACTAAACTTTGGAATGGTCATCACTATGAACATGACGGACAATGAAAGCGGACAAAATATACAGTTTCTCAGATAGACAAAGGAACATCCCTCAACTGCTATTACCATAATAGTGAATATGCATGTGACACCTGTTCTACACATTTTTTACATAATAGCGGTGAAGGGATGTTCTTTTGTCTACCTGAGGAACTGTATATTTTGTCCGCTTTCTTTGTCAGTCATATTCATAGTGCGTGCTATCCCGGTTTGACATCTTGTTTAGGAAAGATCATCTGAAAGTTTAATAACACTCTTAAACCTGTCTTTTAATACTTCTTGGTGCAGGCCTAGTATGCCGGTCACGCTAAACTTTGGAATGGTCATGCCGTCCCGATTTGATTTCTTGTTTAGGAGGGATCTTCTAATCCTGTCTTTTAATACTTTTTGGTACAGAGCTTATATGCCAGTCCCGCTAGACTTTGGAATGGTCATGCCATCCTGATTTTACATCTCAATTTGTGAAGATCATCTTTCTACACTCTTAAACATGTCTTTTAACACTTTTTGGTACTCATTTGGAAGTTGATTAACCCTTTTAATCCTGTCTTTTAACACTTCTTGGTGCAGACCTAATAATCCGGTCACGCTGAACATGGGTATGGTGATGCCGTCATGGTTTGACATCATCTCGTTGGGGGCCGAGGGGAAGGAAGACAAGGAGGGTATCCTGAAGGCTTCCGCAAATTGTAAGTTACAAAGAGAAAATTCTGCTGATGTAGCTTGGTCAGAGCTGCCTACCATTATGTTTTTCCCAAAATTATTCTGTTTTTTCTCTCAAAATTACAGTAGTACAGTGTACGTTGTTTTGTTTTTTTGTTTTTTTTGCACATACTGCTCATCAACCAAATGCCCCAAAATGTTGATCACTACTTCAATAGAAAACTTCAATAGAGATTTATGAAGAGTACAAATTTACAAATAGGAAACAAAAAAGAAAGATGAAAAAAAGTGAAAGGTGTAAACATTCTCAAAAAGAATCATAATACCAAAAGAACTACCTACTTGCAAATAAACTATACATGTAGGTCCTAATATGGAAATAACAGCATGAGAAATTGAAATTTCTGCATTGGAAGTGTGTCGCGCGTGGTTGTAAGTTTCATTTTAATAAATTCCTTTTTTTTTTGCTTGAAATTCGTTTTTTTGATCATCATGGTTCCGTTTTTTGGTTGCACAGGGTTGGTAGCTCTGCTTGGTTTTCATCTATCCTGTTTAGACAATTTGGGTTATCTTTTATTTTTAGTAATCAGGAGTTAATTTTAAATGTTTTTAATTGAATTGAATTTTGAGGGAAATGGGCTGAAATAACTGTGTGCAGTAAAGTTGTTGTTATGACCAGCAAAACATAAACTTCAATATCTCTTTTTCTACAAATGATATTTTGAGCTCATATCTTGAATATACATGGCTGTGTGGAACCCATAACACGCAGGGCAAAATATTTTTGTCTGATTGGTACAATTTAATAACTCCTTGCAAAAACACTTATAAGATGATGACATGGATCCTAAGGCGAGGCGTCAAAAATATCGATACCAGCAGGCTGCCGCCTCACGTATTGGCGCATCGAGGCTGTAATTACGGCGGAAGCCTGGCTGGGGCAATTATTTTTCACTTATTAGCCCAGCCGGCTTGCGCCAGGCTGGGATCTGAGGCTCGGTTTCCATTCGAAAGGCGGCAGCCGGCGCATGCTTTTGAATGCCATTTCCTACCGCCAGCGGTAGCCGGCTGAGCTAATTTAAAAAATGCAGCCAGGACGCACAAGTGCAGTTAGCTGCCGCTGGCTGGTATATTTATTTTTGACGCCTCACCTAAGCAAATGATTGTTTGAGAGCTTACAAGTGACTACCGGTATGCATTTATTTTGCCTAACACGTAACTTTGATAATGACCGGTCATTAGTAAAATCATGTTATTATAAAACTTCATTTTATAAAACAAATAAAACATAATCTTATAAAACAAATAATACACCTCATTTTGTTCGGGCAATAGTAAAATGACTCACACTCGGTACCTTGTGTGGGTAATTCTTACTTAATACCCTCACTACTGTGCATTATTTTTATACTATCTTACTGCATGTGGGTTTTGTTTTGGTTACAGTATTAAAAATGGTTGCGGAAGAGGAAAGCCACGGTATCGCACCTAATCGAATTGTCATAGGAGGTTTCTCACAAGGGGGTGCTGTTTCACTCTACTCGGCATTAACGGACGACAGGCCATATGCGGGTGTATTAGCGCTCAGTACATGGATGCCTCTGCATCAGACATTTAAAGTGAGTCTCAGCCTGGCTTATTCTCTCTGTCTTTCTCTCATCTCCCTCTGTCTCTGTCTGTCTTTCTCTATGTGTACACTGTGTGTGTCTCTCTCTCTCTCTCTCTCTCTCTCTCTCTTTCTCTCTCTCTCTCTCTCTCTCTCTCCCCCTCCCTATCGGTCTCTCTTTCTCTTTTTCTCTTTAGCTATCTACTATCTATCTATCTATCTATCTTTCTGTCTTTCTATCTATCCAACTGTCTATCTGCATGTATCTGTAACCCAAGTGTTCCGTGCAGGGTTTATTCTATGTGAGTGTCTACAGCTGTGCCAACAAGTCTAATAACAAGTTACTTTTATGTTAATTTAGAGTATCTAAACTTGCAATATCTCTTAAAGCCCCACTGTACTAATTATAGCTACATGTACTTGCGCCCTCTATATAGCAAATGATGCTTAATCAGTGACCATTGGTCCCACATGATCCTCTTTTTCTTATGTTAATTGAGAGCTGATTTTATGAGATAGCCACCTGTTAGTGACCTTACAGGGAGGTTTAATCCCCCCTGGCCACACTAGTACAGACGGGCTTTAACAGAGGTTATATATTTGGAGCTCACATCTTGAATGTAGTTTAGCGACATGGAACCCTTCATACCAAACATACGTACGAGAATAAGAAAAAATATGTATAAGAGTTATTTAAGTGGAACAAAACGAAATTGTCATTTATTATGTTGTAACTTCCTTCTTCTTATCTTCCTTCTTTTTATCTTCTCTCTCTTCTTATCTTTCCTCTGTCCTCTGTCGTTGTGAATGTATGTACGATGTTTTTTATATAAAATAAGTTTGTTTCTTGTTTATGCTAAGTATTTATTTGGGGACATTTTCATCAAGTCAATTTTGGCTTTCATTATTCCCCCCTTCCTTTTATCCTATGTTGATAACGAACAAGCATGTATATACTTTTTATGTTTTTTAAAAGAGAGTGAAATAAATAAATGGAATGAAATAAAAGAATATTCTTATCCCTACAGACGGATGGAGTCAGCAAGAAGCCCATGCCTCTACTGCAATGCCATGGAACCTCTGACAATATTCTTCCTTTCAGTCTGGGCCAGATGACCCATAATTTGTTACAAACCCAGGTCTCCAGTCCAGAGTTCCATAAATATCCTGGTCTTGGACATAGTTCTTGTTCTGAGGTGAGTCGGTGTGTCTATTATTGTAGAGGTGTCGTGGCCGAGTGGATATGTCATCGGACTGTGGATCTCAAGGTCCGCGGTTTGAGTCCCGCTGCGGCACCAATGTCCTTTGGCAAGACATTAATCTTCATTTGCCACTCTCCACCCAGGTGTTAAATGGGTACCCGGTAGGATGCGAAAGTTAATGTGTTTAGATGAGCAAGTGTGCGCTTGTAAAATGGTGACTGGTGGAAATGCTTCCAAGGGAGTGGAGAATATGCATACATTGTGTGCAGGTAAGCCTGAATCCAATGACCAGGGTAATAATATATCTGTAAAGTGCTTAGAAACATCGGTGTATCGATGTATTGGGCACTATATAAAAGCGGAATTATTATTATTATTACTATTAACTTTGTTCTGTAGAAACAGACTGGTCACTTTGCGATAGAGGTTCCTTCCAGGGGAGTGTTTCACAAAGATTAAGATTGACTTAAGTTGGACTTAAACTATGACAGGCCATTAATGCCACTTGTTCCTCTAACCATTCCTCGCATTGATTTCTCAAGGGACGGCATACAAATCGTGGTCATAAATCTACAGAATTTACATTTGTTGATAGTTCATTATATTATCTAAAGATCATCATTTCTAAGGGTTTTTTTCTCTAATTTTACATCTGGTTCTAGACTTTTTAAGGGCATAAATCGCAAACCGTCCGTAGTTTTTAATAAATATAACTTTAAAAATGTAAGTTACTTTTTGTCTTCAACTGCGAACTATAAAAAATGTAAATTCTGTAGATTTGTGACATCCCTTGAGAGACCAATGGTGAGAGCAACCATTGGCATGAATGGACTGCCATAGTTCAAGTCCAACTTAAGGATTTTAGTCTTTGTGAACCCCCCCCCCCCCCCCCCCCCGGTCTATTCCCAGCAGACAATACCATTATTTTCCAAGTCTCCTCTTTCTCTCTCTCCTCTCTCTCTCTCTCTCTCTCTCTCTCTCTCCCTCTCTCTCTCTCTCTCTCTCTCTCTCTCTCTCGCTCTTTTTCTCTTTCTTTCTCTCTCTTTCTCTTTGTATGGTTCTTTACATTCCTATTAAATATATTGATGACATAAGTAGATATTACTAGAGATTGTTGAATCTATGTATGCATCTGCCTCCAAACACACTGGGAACCGAATAATAAATGTCTTCTTGTATATTTTCTTTTCTTTTCTTTTTTTTTCCTTTTTTTTCTTCAGGAAATGCTCCTAGTACGCGATTTCTTGAAGAAAGTCCTTCCGTAGTGTCTTTACCCAGCCAGATGCTATTTACCCCACTTCTAACAATGGCAGATGAGCGCATTCCTGATCGCTACTTCAATAGAAGACGGAGCACGACAATCTGGAACAAATCTTATGGTTGTTTTTATCAAATGTCTTATCAGAAAATGGTGATCAAACCTTTCCCTCTTGCTCCAAGCAGACATAATGTCAATTTAGCTATTACAGTGGAACCTCATTATAAGGCTTAAAATAAAAAACTTGTTGTATTGCCCTTTAGGTGCCAAAACATGGGTCAGTCGGTCAGAAAAGTTTTTTTTTTTTTTTAACTTTTTTTTTGGTCGCCCTCTTTGGGCCGATATTTTTCAGTTTTGATTGTTTTTTTTGTGTTTTTTTTCCCACCCTCTTTTGGCTGATATTTCTCAGTTTTTAATGCTTTAATACATGTGTTTCAGAGTCATCATTCCATTCATATCTTTTTCACCTCATAATAATCCATGGTTTGCAATGTTGTGTTGAGACAACACTCTGTGCTTCCCTGCTGACGAAGTTGGTTTTCAACTACCTGTAAAACTTGCTAGCAATGTGAAGATTGTTTGGAATAATTTGATTTTATGCATTTATATCCTAAGTCAAACAAAATACATATTTTTGTATTCATTAATACAAAAAATTCTAAAAAACGGTCTAAAAAAAAAACTTTTTAAAAATGGTCGCGAGGGGCAATACAACAAGTTTTTATTTTACGCCAAGCAAGGTCATTGGCACCATGGAAATTACCTTGTTATATCAGGAATCTTGTTGTATCAGGGTAAAAAAGCAAAAGAATATAAAGAACTTGGACCAGCAATTTTACCTTGTTATAACAGATACCTTGTTATAGTTATCAGAGCTCTTTATAATGAGGTTCCACTGTATAATTAATCCTGAACCTGACTATTCCATGATGTCTGTTGAGAAACAGAAGGGTATTATCACAAATACTTTAATTATTTACATAGAATTACAGCCCTTCTGGCTCTCCAGAGTGTATCATAAAAGCTCAAACTCAAAGATCCTAAGTTGAACTTATCTCTAGGTTTGACTTAACAGTTATGGAAAGCTGTTGGCATCTATGAAAATATTTTGTACAAGTTAATTTAAAAGGCATGTAATGTTGATTCAAATCATTCATATTTTCTATCATCAAATATATTTGATGTTCTTGATGTGGAATTTATAAAAAGTCTAAAATACTTGTTTTTTTGCTTTTGAATATTTCATTGTAAGGCTACAAATGGCTCTCCATAATTTTTAAGTCCAACTTAGATTCAAGTTCGAGATAGGATCTTTGTGAAACACCCCTGCTAAACACTAATGCTAACGGAATAGCATACCCGTCTCAGCGATGGATTTTTTCAGGTATACTAGCCCTTTTAGTTCTGTAGTAACGTTTCTGGGCTTAATAGTGTTTTAATAGGTCGCGTGGCACAATGTATAACTGCTTACATACATCCAGTGCACCCGCTAAAATCTGTAAACTGTGGTCTGTAGAGACAGACTGGTTTAAGTCTGATCGATGTTTCTTCTTTTGTCTATGTGGAGGGCCCCGTCTCATAAAGATTCTTATCAATCGCAAGTCCTTCAATCAATCGCAAGTTTACAATGTCCTATTTACATGGTTGTGAATGATATCAATCGCAAGTAAGTTGTGATTTATCTCAACTGTTTATAAGACGGGCCCTAGGTATACAATACTGAACCTTTCTGGGTCTCCTGTTAGAAACATGCTGAAAGTGTGTAACATCACACTGCAGGGCAGATTTGTAGATTTGTTTTTAATCAGAGAATCTTTATACGCACACTGCTCATGTGCAATGTACCTTTGACGTGTGTTATCCATAACTTCATGCACAATGTAGATGATAAAAGAAGGGCTATTACCCTGTCATTATGATTCTAAAATCAATAGACTATGTTTTCCCACTTTTGACCAATCGGAGGGTAGAATCTTAATGATAGTATGATATATGTGTTACAAATCTAGTACACTGGAGATAATTGTAAATTTTTGAAAGCGTTTTTAATGTCTCTCTTCTGAATCAGGTCATGGGTCTCTGGACGTCATGTCCCGTCTCCTTGTAAACATTCTGGTATTTCTGATTTCCTCAATGTCCTCATTTCTTCCGTTTGTAGTTACGTTTAATGCTAATTATGATTTCCTATTGAATATGTATGCTTCTAGCCTGGCTTCAAGGCACTAGGCTATTTTCTTCTAAGCTCATTGAGATATTACAGATTTTGTTTGATTCTATATCTTGATAATTAGGTATAATTGTTTGCGACATGCACCGGTACAAATATTCCAGGGTGTCGAGAAGTTTGTAGTCCAGTGTTTATTACAATTATTTTTATTCTAGAAAATAGTGCTTATATTGATAAAGATACATTAGGTACATGCATAGCATATTGAGAGCGATAGTTGTGACACAGGCACGTATATGCCATCAAATATCAATTCATGGAGCTCAAATAGTTCCTTCCTGTAGAGATTGTATGTGGGAGGAAGTTATTTGGAGTTCGATAAATTGATCTTTGATCGCAGACGTGTTTGCGCGCATGTCGCAACTCCCTCTTTTCAATATGCTATGGGTACATGTGGATGTAGGAAATAACTTCAATTAAGAATTAACCACAAGTTACGCGAGATTCAATATACTGTGTAGAAGAATGAGATAAATAGGCATTTGTTTTTACTACAGTTGTGATGCACATAGAATTGATAGGTGTAGAAAAACAGCGCAAAAAGAATTTTCTAGTGCCTTGAAACCAGACTATTACAAGTCCTGTGGACTTCCTGACTAATTTGTAAATAATTCTAATTTTAATTTCTTACAGTGAAATATGATCAATTCTAACCTATGATATGTAAGATTTAATAAAAAGATAGTTGTATGGAGACATAAAAGAGAGACCAGTTCTGATTGTAAAGTGTGTAAAATATATTTTTGTTTTTTAAAGGGTATTCCAACAAAAAAGACATGTGTAAAGCCTCTAGCGGCTCTAGCCCTGCGTGTTCTTGTTGAAAATGCCTTTTTTTGTGCAAATGGTTGGGTTTGTCTCATTTCTTACAGCTTATCTGCCGTAGTTTACAGGAGGGATTAGACTGCCCTGCAAGGTCACTGGACAGGTGGTTATCTCATCAACTCAGCTCTCAGTTAACATAAGAAAAAGAGGATCATGGGGGACCAATGGTCACCGATTAGGCATTGTTTGTTATATAGAGGGCGCACGTAGCTACAAGTAGTGCAGTGGGCCTTTAAGAATATCCCTAAAATAGGATACACTATAAAACTGATCATGTCTGGCCATAACACACCATTCAACCCAATTATGACATGATTTTGAAAGAAATCACAGTAGATTAGGGTAGATGTAGATTAGATATGGACTATCATATGTCTATTGAGGCCACCAAAGGGAAACAGGGAAAGTGACTTCTGTTGACGGGTGGCCTTTCTAGACGGGTTCTACAACACACATTTCTTTCGAGTTGCAAAAAATAAAAATGCATTTTTTTTTTTCTCCATCTCTCTCTTCAGGTTAGAACTGAAGCTAGATGTACATGTACAGCTTATGTTTGTCATGTTTTTCTTCAGGTTTGTCATCTAATTGTATTTTATAAATATCTAATAGTGATATGCTATGATCTGAAGGAATAAACATCATTTCTGAATCTAAAATGAGAGGGGAATATTCTTCTTCATTGAGTACCTAGTACTTTTACATTATAAATGTTCATTAACACAAGACACAGTAAACTGCTTTTGAAAATATTCTTTGCCAAAATACACTCGGGGGAGGTGGGGGGGGGGGGGGGGGGGGGGGGGAGAAAGTGGAAATTAGTTATAGTTCAGATTTTTTAATATAAACGGTCTGGTTAAGAAAAGAGAGACAGAGAGAGGGTGAGGGAGAGAGAGGGGGGGGGGAGGGGGGGGGGGGGGGGGGGGAGAGATAGAGCAAATGAGAGCTAAACTAGATAAACTAGATAAAAGAGCAACTGGAGGAGAAGAGATCCTCTAGACTTGGTCTACGTTCAGGAAATGTCCACCAGTTTCAGGAAGCTCGAACAAGGCGGTCTTGGGGCGACAGGTCCTTCTCTGTAGCAGCCCCGCGTTTGTGGAATGCACTCCCTTCATACATTAAACTAAGTAATACAGTTGAACTATTCCACAAGCATCTAAAGACCTACCTTATGAAGGAAAAATATGATTAACTCACATGAACATTTCAATGTCTTACTGAATCTGTAATTTGCATTTGTTTTTTGATTTGTTGATTTATTATTAGTTTGTTAATTTCAATTTGTTTATTGTTTGTATTTGAAATGTTAATAGTGAATCTTTTTTGTGCGCCTTGAGTGCCATTATAGGCAGATATGTGCTATACAAATCTTAAATTATTATTATATTATTATTATAACAAGAGAGAGTTAGGTAGAGAAAAAGTAGCATAAGAGTAATAGAGAGAGAGAGCAATCGAAAGATAACTAGGAGTGTAACCCTGAAAGAGCAAGCAAGACCGGACGCAAGAGAGTTTACAAGAGAGCATGCAAGCTAGCAAATGAGCAAGAAAGAAAAGGGACGAAACTGGGCAGAAAATGAGAGAGCAAGACGTTACTGTGTACATGTGTAGGTGGTTGTGTTTCCCAGTACACATGACAAAAATGATTTCCTATGACTCTTTTAATGAAAGAGGTGATGCAAATTGTAACAACTGACACAAATGTACTTGAAATATAAAATATTTAATATTTTACATTCAAAATTTATCAAGTTCAACAAGCATGAAACAACAATTCTCATGAATTACTTGCAGCTAAATACAGAAAAACATCAACAAATACAAGCTAACTAAACGCGATACTATCTGGGATCATTGACTACAAAATAATGTATACACGTAAAACATACCTAGCTACTATAAGTATTCATGGTTAAATACAAACAAGTTAACAAATATAATGCCATTGATCACAAAAGATGATTTCATCGATACTATCTGGGATCATTAACTACAAAATATGTGTACACAAAGAAAAAACATATCCTACTATAAATATTCATGGTTAAATACAAACAAGTTAACAAGTATAATGCCGTTGATCACAAGATAATTTCAGTTCAATCAATAAAAGAGATGTCATATATTAGAATATGAGTTGGAAAGAAAAAAAAGCACATTAAAATTAATTTGTAAAAAAAATTTGGCAGTTTGCAAACACGACACATTGCAAAATTAAAGAACAAAATATCAGTACCCACTTTTACAGGGGAAGTCCAGATATAATATAATACACAAAAAAGTAATTTGTCCTTATTTTGTATAGCTAATGCACAATTAAGAGGAGTTTAGACACAATTTACATGAAAAAAGAAGAAGCTACATTTCTTGAATATCTTGTATGCGGTAATTTGGCACAACAGAATATTTCATTATTAAAATGATACAACACATTTGAGCAGTACACAAGTCAGTGAATATGCATAATTGTTCTCTTCAATTCAATAGTACATGTACATGTAGTAAAGACATGTACTCTGAACATTTACAACTACATGAATAAAACATATGAACTATGAATAAACATACAAGAAATTGTACTAAATAATTGATAAATATATTTATATGATCATACGCCTACATGTATGAATAAAACCAAATACGGTATTTATATATCAATAAATAAAGGAAATGATGGGTGTGCATATCAAATTGGCAATGGGGGGAAAATCAATCAATTTGGAATTTCCTTAGTTATAAAAAAAGGGAGTTAATGCCCAAGAAGATCTTTGGTGTATTGTAAAGATCCACAAAATGATATTACAGAACTATATAGCGCATTATACTCCATCATGATAAAAATAAGATACATACGTACCATGGGCGTAAATCTGTAATTGATACCTATTGTTCAGGGGGGGATGATCTATTCATTCATCCCCCCCCCCAAACAATAGGTATTACGAAGGACTGACGCCCATGATACGTACTGTAGGTCATGTTCAAAATGGTTTACAAATACAATGTAACATTTACTCCATAACACATTTTGGTTGAAATAAATATGCACAGTTAAATCATTTTCCCATTCATGTTGAATCTTTGGTGTTCATGTAAAAAAAGGTGTCTAAACAATATACCTTTTTTTCCTCCATGTTTCCAAGAACTATTCGACTTTTTTGTCCACATGCTCAACACAACCTTTGATCTGAAATACACACATCATCAAGAAACTGTTTTGATATCTAGGACTTACTATACAAATAAATAAATCAAGATTCCATTTCTGACATCCACAAACCTTATCTAACACTGTTTACCTTAAAGAAAAATTCTGGAAGTAAACTTTTAGGATTCAGTTGGAAATTAATTACTGTTAATAATTTTACACTAGGACTATTACATCACATGTGTACAATTGAAATTGAAATTGACATAAACACATTATTCCAAGAACATAAAATCGTAATATTAACCTCAATTTTAAAAGATTTAAAAGAAAATGAAAAGAGAGTGAACATATTTGGCATTTGAAGAACATTAATACAGAGTGTACATGTTCATTTACCTATGACAAAAATAGACCCAAAAGCTGTTTAATAGAAAACTATCTGTAGCTCAGTAACTTTCATGTACCGGGTATTCCGTTTCTTTTCCTTCTTTTTTGTTTGTATTAAAAAAAAATTGAACAGCAAAATGTAATACAATGATTGTCATGACACATCATACATGTATCTTTTATCTACGTACTTGAAAAATGCCTTTGTCATTTAACAAATTTGTGTTCAATTCTTAATCTTTACCAGTCATATACAGCATATAAAAAGATGCAACCATATAAATTCAGTGACAGTTTTGTTCAATCAATATCACTTCTTTGGAACCAATATGATGTGAATGAAAACCTTCAAATTACATACATGTTAGTGGCATAGCATGCAAAGGGGGGAGGGGGGGGGGGGAGAAGAAGAAAAAGAATGAAAAGTAGAAAGAAAAAAAATAGGAAACAGGTAACCACAATACATGGACATGTACTTAGATAAATTAATCACATTGCACTTCCGATTCCATAATTACTCCTTCTCTACAACCAAATCAGGGCTCTGTTTCATAAAACTTGTTATAATAATAAAAATAGTCTCGATTCATATGGCGCTTAAAGGTACTATGTCCCATTTGCAGGCCAATAAAATGAAAAGGTTAAATTCCAACGGCATTTGAAAAATAATACTAAGTTAGAACTTCCCTAAAATAAAGGGGGCTTGAAAATGTGGGAAAATAACGACTATTAGTTGTCGAATCAACTTAAGAGCTATAGAGCCAGTTAATGATATTCAGTCCATTGTACCAAATAGTTGTACGTTTTATGCTGCGCAATGATTCCATCAGTTTAATTTTGGCCATTACAAGAAGTGGGTTATTGATGTAGACAAATGCTCATGTACCCTTTACAGCTCATTTTATTACCAGAGAAGAAAATGATGCCTCCGTCATAGAGCAATTTTAGAAACCAAAACAGAAGAAATTTTTAAAATTCCAGTTCAATTGTAATCCATTAACAGGTTCTCAGAATATCGTGATTACAAGCAATTTCTCATATACATATATGACCCTTTGATCTTTGACCTCATGACTCTAAAATCTACTCAGTTCATTGGCTCTGCAAGATGTCCTGAGTTAAATAGTAATCCATCTGTCAGTTCTAATGAGAATGCTTTCACAAGCTATTTTTGCATACATAATGAGCCAATGACCTTTGACCTTATGAACCAAGAATCTACTCAGTTTATTGGCTCTGCAAGATACATAAATGAAGTTTGGCAGGAATCCATCAATCTGTTCTAATGATTGTACGATCACAAGCTATTTTTTGCATACATAATGTGCCCTGTGACCTTTGACCTTTGACCTTGTGACCCCAAAATCTAATCAGTTCATCGGCTCTGCAAGTAACATACATGACCTAAATTTGGCAGGAATCCATCGATCGGTTCTTGAGATAACGCGATCACGAGCTGTTTTTGCATACATAATGAGCCCTGTGACCTTTGGCCTTTGACCTCGTGACCCCAAAATCTAATCAGTTCATTGGCTCTGCATGATACTACATGACCAAAGTTTGGCGGGAATTCATCAATCGGTTCTTCAGATAACGCGATCACGAGCTGTTTTTGCAAACATAATGAGCCCTGTGACCTTTGACCTTTGACCTTGTGACCCCAAAATCTAATCAGTTCATCGGCTCTGCAAGATACATACATGACCAAAGTTTGGCAGGAATCCATCAATCGGTTCTTCAGATAACGCGATCACGAGAACGGGACGTACGTACGTACAGACGTACATGTACGTACGTACGGACGGACAACCCGAAAACATAATGCCTCCGGCTACTTCGTAACGGAGGCATGAAAAAGCCATTCAGTCACTCAATAGTGTCTGACAGTGAAGTCTAGCAAGTAAACAGGTTTCCTTGCATAATTTGAATATTAGGACACTGCATGCTAACGTTTAATTTTCACAGATAGTACATGACATATTCATAATTCCTGCAAAATTCTACAGAATTTTATGTTGGCTGCAAAAGGGACATAGTATCTTTAATACGGAATACCGTCTCTAAGCGCTTTACAGATATTATTACTCAGTTGTTATCAATAAACAACTGTCACAGATCTATGACAAATTCAATCATAACCAATCAAATACAAGGAATTTAGTAGCTTATATCAATCATCATAACTTGTTACAATAATTGTGTTTCTGTATTTGTTATGCAAATGTGGAAATAAATTCAATTCAATTCAATTGATAGCAAGTTTAATGAAACACGGCACTGCCCTGTATCCCCACCCGATTTGACAATACCCCTTGCAATGCTATGCCACTCCATGAAACATTCATACTTTTACTCGCGTAACACATTTACACAGTTTGAACACCTTGCATGGTTAAGAAATAAAACATATATCATAGCCAAAATTTCTTTACAAATATGTTACTGTAGTTCTGTCCAATTTTTGAATCATTTCAAATTGTTGATTTAACTTTTTCAAATCAGTCAAGGTAACAATAAATCATTTTGACAATTACAGAATAAGTGAGATTATGAATACATACATGTAACAGTACAAACATATGTTTGTCTTTTCAGTAACAAACCTGTACTGATCAAGCACTTTGGTATATCAGGCCTACACTGTATCCCTGTCACTGGTTTCTATTACGATTCTGCACATGCACACTCTAAATGCTTGTTCAGATAAGATGGGGTCAATTAACCCCCGCAAAGAAGCTGCTACATTTTTTTAAACGCGTAAATGAATGGCAACTGTGTGCATCACAGGTCATGCATGTATTCACTGAGCTCTGTGTTATAAGATACAGAAACATGAAGCGTGTTTACACCTTACGTCATAAAAAAGCCACTGCGGTTTAGCTGCATCATATCTGAACGCGGCTTGATTCACTAAAGACTATTTCCAGCTATTCACCATACTACAAGTGCCCAATTGATATTTAAAATCTACAGTATTAGGTATCCATTTTAACACCTGGGTGGAGGAAGCAATGAAGATAAAATGCATTGCTTATAAATGGACATCGGTTTTATGGGGGAGGGGGGGCTTGAACCCATTACATTGACGTCTCGAGTCAACTGTTAAAATAAAAATAAATAAAAAAGGAATAAATAAAATTTAAAAAATAACAACCAAACAACTCAAAATAATTGAATTATTACCTGCAAAACATCATAGTTTGTGCAACGACTAGGGCCAAAACAGCCTTGTGTCAACTGAGTTGTCATATTTAAAATTATGTTTTAATAAATAAATAAATGAATAAATAAATGTTACACACATGTATTCAATTTACACATGGACCTGTAGGTAAGTCATACATTTGTGTGGACTTGGGTTTTACTGTTAGGTTAGATTAGGTTAGGTTAGGATAGGTTTAGGGTTAGGGTTAATATAATGAACTGTGTTTGGTCCTGGCTTGAAGTTAGGAGTTTGCTTAGTGTACCAAAACAAGGGAAACCTTGTGGTGGTCTCGCCTGCATTACGCAATTTGATATGATGAAAAATAGAGGTTGGGACATTATTTTTAGGCAGGGGCCAATTAGCAGGCCCACAAAAAAGAAATATTCCATATATATGCAGCATTTTGAATATTGACTAAGAATCATCAGCAGGATTATTTACTATTATTTGTACCAAGATTGATAACTTTCATGAAATATGATCAAATAATAAAACTTGATTTAATAATTCTCATATTAAGTTGCGAAAACATAATTCAAGTCCACTGACCTAAAATGACCTTTGTCCTTAATATTGTGACCTGGAATTTGTGTCATATGATTTGGGATACTTGCTTTTGCTATGCAGGCAAGACAAAAACTATGGGGCAATTGATGCAAAGTATTTTTTTCTTCAAAAATAGACATAGATATATTCTTATCAACATTCTTCACCTTTTTTGTAAACCATTTGATTGAGGTATTGAGTTACATGTTGTTCATTCTTCAAGTCATCATGAGGCCTTATCTTCCTCCCTCGGCAGGGGTCTGAAGCTCCCTGTCTTCTTTTTCCTGATGAGGGCGCTGGTCAGTTCGCTGATCCCGATGCTGAGGAGAAGACTGATGACGATCCACACCCACCACTCCCACACCAGAGGGAAAGCTAAATTAACTGTTTGCAATGAGGAGGAGATAAAGTTATAAAGATATGACGTGAGAAAAAGTTTGAAAGGGAACGAAAAACCAATAATGAAAGGGAAAGTTTATAACTTTCAGACACACAAAGTAAATTTATATTGTAAAGATGAGTTCTGGAAATAAACATTTCTACAAAGAGTGTCCAAACAAACTGTTTTAAAGTTTAATTTGCAAACATAGTAAATACTGGTAATAAAGTTGTTTAATTATACATTTTTAAACTTGTATATCAAAAAATTAAAAAATATGCCGAATTTCTGAAAGAACAAATCAAATTGGTCATGAAAGCCAAAAAAAGTAACAATAATATTACTTTCATTGGCAAAGGAAACAGAAACCTAATGAAAGTACCTCAAATATGCCTCCACCTAAAGTTCAATTGCTTAAAGATAAAGGTGAGTTCTGGTAATGCGATTGCATTGTGAAGAAAAGGTGTGGAATGGATCAGAACAAGTTGATCATGTAGCATGTAAGTATTGGTGTGTACTGCAAGGTTCTGGAGTCATCAAAATCATAATAAATTTGGCCGAGTCTTGGTAAGCACTGTACACAGAAAGCTATATACGGGACAACACACATGGTGTCGGGGCTAGTACTACCTTGATGTCCTTGTCTTTTTATGCTCATTACTCAGCTAGTATACAATTTCTTCCAAAATTGTTTGGCGCATGACATTTATTTGTTATCTTGACCATTCAGTGTAAGTTTCGTTTGATTCTGTGAGAATTCATTTTCTTTTTTTAATTACCACGCAGAACTCAAGTTTATCTTGAATGACCATGTCATCTTTGACCTCATCAACCCAAAACTTAAAAGTATGACCAAACAAAACAAACAGTTTACCGAGACAGACGAGGATACAGTGCACAGCTGTAATGGTGATTGTGTAATCCCAGAGTCGCGATCTCAGAAAGATGTAGAAAACAAACGGAATTGTTATGTATGTGCCTTCCAGTGAGATGAAGTCCCCTGACGAAAGCAAACACAATACAAATTAATTTTTAAAGAGAGAAGATAAAAACGATAATTCTTTTTAAATACATGTTACTTTCAATCATCAAAAACATACCTACTTTAAATCTGAATAATACATAACATAATGTCTCTGTCCCATGTGAAAATCTAATACAAAGAAACTTTAGGACCAAGAAACCTTTTAAAGTATTTCTATAACTTTACTACATATTTATTTGCTTTGCAATAAAAAATTCATATAAAATGGTGGGAGGTGTAAACCTGTTTTGTCCCGTTCAAAACCTCACTATTCCAATGACTAAACAACTTAGTACCAAGACGTGATAAAACATTTTATAGGCAAAACAATTTACTGCTGTATTATAAACAAGGATATTCTTTTTTCTTCCTCTTCTTTTGTTTACCACCAATTACAGTGTAAAACTATTACATGTATACAGCAATAACAGAATACTGTACGAACTCTAACTACGATTGAGCCAGTCCATGTCTTCATGTATGTGATTTCTTGGGTTTTTTGCTCTGATATTACAAAACTTTAATACAATGGGGTAATTTTCTTCCAAAGACTTTGTTAAATTGAGGTTTCACTGTAGTAATTCATTTTAAAAAGATGGTGGTCTAGTAAAGATTTCAAGCAGATCTTCTCATTCACAAAGATCCATTAAACACTCACCTAGAAAAACAGGATCACTCCATTTTGTAGAGTTGGCAAAAATTTGATCAAAGCTTTGGTAATGGAAAGGAATGGTGCCATCAAAACTGTCCAGTCTGTTAAAGGAAGAGACAAAGCAACAAAATGTTACAATTATTTGAGTTATCAGGGCCATGTTTCACAAAAAATTCTTATCAATAACAAATGCTGAACTTCTATGACAAATTTGCTCTCAGCCAATCAAATGCAATGATTTCAGTAGCTTATAACAATTATTGTCTCTTGTTATTGATAACAAGTTTTGTGAAACAGGACCCTAATGAGAATATGAAGAATAGGTGGCAAGTGCATGTAGCAAAGATACATCTTGTTTGCACTCATCTGCTGAGAGCCAGAACGGTACTAATTAAGTCATATCAGGATTTGTAGAGGTGTCGTGGTCGAGTGGATATGTCACCGGACTGTGGATCACAAGGTCCGCAGTTCAAGTCCCGCCGCGGCACTAATGTCCTTTGGCAAGACATTGATCTACATTTGCCACTCTCCACCCAGGTGTTAAAATGGGTACCCGGTAGGATGCGAAAGCTAATGTGGTTTGATTAGCATTGCTTGTAAAATGGCGACTGGCTGGAATGCTCCCCAGGGAGTGGAGAATGTGCATACCTTGTGTGCGGGTAAGCCTGAATCCGATGACCGGGGTAATAATATGTTCCGCGCCTAGAAACGTAGTATTAGGCGCATTATAAATGTGAGCTATTATTATTATTATTAATGCACTTCTGGGGGCATTTCACAAAACTTGTCATCAGTGACAAATGACAGTTTATAAGCTACTGAAATCCTTGCTTCCGATTGGTTATCAGCAGATTTGTCACTGATTTTTGTCATTTGTCATTGAAAAAAGGCTTTGTGAAACGCTCCCCAGTGCTTTAACCTGTTAACGCATTAACCTGTGCTTTAATTGGATGTTGGTGAACTCGAGTACTAATATGACGGTTTTGTGAAACGATGCCCTGGCTCTCATATTACAAACTACACTAGTTATAATTATTATTTCATTATCATTATTTGAGAGATATCTATATCTATATCTCTCTCTCTCTCTCTCTCTCTCTCTCTCTCTATATATATATATATATATATATATATATATATAGAAAGAAAAACATTCCAAGAATTCTCAATTTGACACTTTGATGAAGAAAAGCTTAACAATATTGACATTTTAAGACTTATCTCCTCAATGATAATCATGTTTTCTTTTTTCTTTTTTCAAAATCAAATTTATTAATATTCTGCCCTGTAGATGGACAAAAAATTGTTCAAGCATATCCACTAATAGCAATTTGATAGGGGGAAGAAAGCAAATTCATAACCAGTTTGCTTTGCTGTGTCTATACTTCCTACCTGAGAATTCCATTAAGGAGTGAAGCCACTATGTAATAAACAGCATAAAAGGAGAAGATTGTTCCAAGAAGTTTCAGTAGGATTTCCTGCAAAAGGGAAGAACATTGACATGTATGGATAACATCATTTCACACTTTCATATGTTTGAAGTGAACTAATATTATTAGGCTAAGAATAATGTTAAGTGACATGCGTGCGCCTTAGTATACATGTACTTAAGTAATCGTTATTATCATAAAGCAGGTATCAAATTGGCAATACACTAACATTTTGTGTGTGTGAACACTGCTTCGTTCATTTGCATTTCAGGTGGAACCAACATCACAATGTTGGTTCCGCCTGAAATGCAAAAACTATGAACGGAAACTCTCATAACTGCATAAAAGGTCAGAGTTTTTGTACTGTTTACACTCATTATCATCAGCAACATGTGGAAGGTAAGTAGATCGCTATGATGCCATCACATATCATGATATCACCATCACTCCACTATAAAAATCTCATGACATAAGTCATATATTATCAGGATTATTGGTTAAATTCTTGAACGATTTCAAAATCATCAAAGACATAGGTGAAGGCGAAGCATTGAATTTGAAAGTGGTTTGTAGTTAATGCTAATGCATATTGACCTCTAGCACTGCATACATGCTGTGAGCCAGGGAGACCCATACACAAATATACACACCACACAATATTCCATAGACTGTACACAATCATGCCGATGCAGCTGTAAGCAAAGTTTGACACTTGTCACTAGACTTACAATTTGAATTTTTAAATTATTCTTTTTATTAGAAAGTTGAAAAAAATGTATTTTACTGCTATTTAGGTGTCATCAATCGACACTAAAGTACAGATTTTGAGTGAAATCGGTTGAGTTTTGTACAATGGTGTTTGAAATGTTGAGAATTAATAGCACAGCCACAGCTTTTAGTTTTAGATCTAATACACAGCCAGGATAAGACTTTCTAGGCCTACTAACATGACTAATGGCTTTAATGCACCTAGTCTAGACCGAGTCTATGTGTGGTTTGTACTGTAGAACCTACGAGTACGACTAAGTTAGGAGGGGGAAAAAAGAGTTCACTACTGACAGGGTGCAATGTTGTCAGGTCATCATGCTCCCCCCCCCCCCCCCCCCCCTCCCCCACACACCTCCTCCCAAGTACAATGATCCCTGAATTTAACACAGTCCCATACAATGACATTGGCGCATTGATGTTTCCCAAGACGTTTCTTTCAATCTCTAAATTGAATGTTAAATCCCTGCTGAAGAAAAATGTCTAGTTTTATTTGAAGGACGACCTTCGAACAGTAATTTATGAAGAACAAATTTAAAATAAATACCTTTCCAATCGAAGAAACAGAAACCATTTTGAGCAAAATCCGAGATGGTCAGCTTCCTTAACAACAAACGTCATGGTGTCTTCAAATGTGCAAACGAAAAGCAAAAGCTAGCTATAAAAGGAAGGAAAATAATGTGCTCCGATAAGCCGCGGAAATTATTTCAATTCAATTAAAAACAATGTTTGATCCATATCTTAAATCTTTCTTCCCTGCAAGTATTTGCAGAGGCGGCCCTCCCGGGGGGCAGGGGGCACAGTGCCCCCCCCCCACTTTTTCAGATACCCCAAAAGTGCCCCTTTTTACATAGGAAAGTGCCCCATTTATTTTGTAAGAAGTGCCCCTTTTACTTTGACAAGTGCCCCTATTACTTAGTAAAAGTGCCCCTTCCCCCTTTTCACCTCTGACGAGTACCCTTTTTATTTTTGACACGTGCCCCTTTTCCTTCGACATGTTCCCATTTTCCTTTGCAATAAGTGTCCATGTTCCATTCTCATAAATCTTGAAATTATCTTGAATAAGTGCCCTTTTTATTCTCTAGTAAGTGCCTCTTTTCAGGTACGAGAAGTGCCCCTTTTCACTTTTAATAAGTGCCCCCTTCACCTCTGATAATTGCCCTATTCAAAACTGAGAGGTGCTCCATTTACTTTGACAACTTCCCCTTTTTTCCTTTGTAAGAAGTGCCCCTTCTCCTTTTAATAACTACCCCTTTTTTAAACTCGGACGAGCACACCTTTCATTTTAACATGTGCCCCTCTTATTTTCTAATAAGTGCCCCTTTTCCTTATGATAAGTGCCCCCATTTAAAAGAGAGAGCTCCTTCCCCTTCTCATAACTACCCCTTTCCCTTTCTAATAAGTGTCCCTTTTCCTTATGATAAGTGCCCCCATTAAAAAGAAAGAGCTCCTTCCCCTTCTCATAACTGCCCCTTTTAAAAATCTGAATGGTGCCCCCTTTTCATTCAACAAATGCACATTTTCCTTTATCATAAGTGCCCCTTTTACATTTTCATAAGTGCCCCTTTTCATATCTGGTCAGTGCCCCTTTTCAACTCTGATAATTCCCCTTTTAATAATGATAAGTGCCCCTTTTCCTTTCTAATAAGGGACCTATCCACTTTTCACCTCTTATAAATGCCCCTATCAAAATCTGATGGGTGCCCCTTTTCCGTCAACAAATGCCTTTTTCCCATTTTCATAAACGCCTCTTTTTCATCACTGGTGAGTGCCTCTTTTCAGGTGAAAAAATGCCTCATTTTCACCTCTTATAATTATCCTTTGTACTTTGACACGTGCTCCTTTTCTTTTCTAATAAGTGTCTAATATCCCTTTCGATAATTGTCCCCTTTTCATGTAATCATTAAACGTGCCCCTTATTTAAAGCGACTAATAGCAATTTCCCCCAAAGTTCACTCGCTGCGCTCGCTCGCATTTAAAGATGATATAATTATGTTACTTATCAAAGGTCTTTTCAGTCTTCCGTTATGAGAATGTGCTTATAACCTCATCACGATTGGCTTTTTTCCTCTTTATAAGATGTAATTTTTCGCACTGCGACCTCACAGATCTTTAAAATTTTTCTCGCTCGCTTCGCTCGCTCGTAAATGCATATTTAGACATCACACCCAACTGTAAAGTATGATGCTTAAGCGATATCTTGTATGATGTATGAAGAGAAACAAATATTGAAATCATCCCTGATAATGTAATCACAATGTAGGGGTATATACCAATGTCTAAACAATTGTATATTTTCGCTTTGAGATTTCCCACTGTAGGTGCCCTTTTTTTCCAGAAAGTGCTCTTTTTTGTTGGTGCCCCCCCCCCCCCCACTTTGGAAGTCGCTCGATCGAATCCCGGACAACTCGCCACAAAGACAACCCGCCCCAAGACAACCCGCCACAATACCCTGGACATCCCGCCACAATACCCTGGACAACCCTGGATTTAGGAAGACTTATTCTACATATTTGGGAGCACTTCATTTAACAGATTATGTAATTAAGAATATGGATAAGGGTAATTATTCATTGGGTGTGTTTATGGATTTGTCAAAAGCGTTCGACACCATTGACCACCACATACTGCTCAAAAAATTAAATTATTATGGTATTCGCGGCCTTCCATTGAAATTAATTGAAAACTATTTGAGTGATAGAAAGCAGTATGTGGTGGTTGACGGTGTCTGTTCGACTAAAAGGGATGTAATATGTGGTGTTCCTCAAGGATCAGTTTTAGGGCCCCTTTTGTTTTTAATTTATATAAATGATATTAAACAATCTTCAAATGTATTAAATTTTACCCTCTTTGCAGATGATACTTCCGTTATTACATCACATAGTAGTGTATTTACTTTAGTTGATATTATGAATAATGAATTGATAAAATTGGATAATTGGTTCAAATGTAATAAATTATTTCTCAATTATGATAAAACAAATTATGTAATATTTCATTCTCGAAATCGGAAGATCCCTAGTGATTTATTGCCTATACAAATTGATGTAAATATTATAAAAAGGAAAGAATGTGTTCAGTTTCTTGGTATTATAATTGATAAATTACTTAATTGGAAACCTCATATTGATTGCATTTCGTTGAAATTATCTCGAAGTATTGGAGTTTTGTCAAAGCTAAAGCATGTTTTACCATCAAATATTTTGCTTATGTTGTATAATAGTATGATTTTTCCACATGTAAATTATTGTAATATTATTTGGGGAAATACTTATGCATCATTTATAGATAAGATTTATTTGTTACAGAAACGAGCCGTGCGTATTATTACTAAATCTGATTATTTAGCCCCATCACGGCCACTTTTTGTTAAAACACACGTAGTCCCAATTTTTGAATTGATTCAATTTAATACTCGCATATTTATGTTTAAATTTCAAAATCGCCTATTGCCAGAAATTCCTAATATAAACTTTGTTATTAATAGTGATATTCACTCGTATTCTACTCGTCAGAAAAATCATTTACATTTATTTAAAGTTCGTACGACAAATGCACAAAATTCTTTCTATTTAAATGGCATTAAGGAATGGAATAATTTGAGTAATGATATTAAGGAAAGTACAACTCTATCTCGATTTAAAGTACGATGTACACAGTTATTATTTAGTGATTTATGTAAACAAGTTTGAGCAGAGGAGGATATTTTTAATGTATGTGTGTATGTATATGTGTGAGCGTGCTTGTGTGTTTGTATCATGTTATTTTTAAAGTTTTTAAACTGTATAATTTATGTGTAGTTTCTTTTTTCTTTTTTAGGCCCCACCACAAGCAATTTGCTTCTAAGGGTGTCCTTTACCGTATTATGTTTACTATGTTACTCATTTGTATGTACATGTTTCATTTTATGGTTAAATAAACTTTACTAAACTTTACTTACAATACCCTGGACAACTCGCCACAGCCTTTTCGGACAACTCGCCACACTTTTTTCCCCTCATGATTTCTAGATCTAAAATCCCTCATCTTAGATGAAATTGTCATTTTTCATGATTTTCGTGCTTTTATAAACACAGTTATGACAGGAAACATGGAAATTGTGAGTATTTTGAGAGCTGTTCTAAAGAATAAAGATGATTTTCCTTGCGCTTGCAACAAGAATCTATTTTGGACGAACCCAAGCCAGGCGTACTACGACTACGAGTTACGACTACGATTTTTAAGTTCATGTCTCAGGAAACTTTTTAATGGTAGGAATATGCTGCTATGTATCTTTGGCGTATCTTTACATTCTAATATTACCTGCCCCCCCCCCCCCCCCCCCATCAGTACGCCAGTGCTTCCAGTATCCTACCATAAAAAAAATTCTGGGACAGAAAAATGCAGCTGTTATAGACCTCTAGATCAAAAGTATATTATTGTTACAAGGGAAATCAACTTTATTCTTTTTAATGACTGTTTATAAAAGCACGAAAATCATGAAAAATGACAATTTCATTTTAATATATTATTGTTACAATTAGGGAAATCAACTTTATTCTTTATTCTTTGTAATGACTGTGTTTATAAAAGCACGAAAATTATGAAAAATGACAATTTCATTTCATTTTAGATCTAGAAATCATGATGGGAAAAAGTGTGGCGAGTTGTCCGAAAAGGCTGTGGCGAGTTGTCCAGGGTATTGTGGCGGGTTGTCCAGGGTATTGTGGCGGGATGTCCAGGGTATTGTGGCGGGTTGTCTTGGGGCGGGTTGTCTTTGTGGCGAGTTGTCTGGACCCCGCTCGATCGCCCCTGAGTATTTGTTTTGATAAACGTGAAGAGTACATTTCACTATAATGCATGTAAAGAATGTTTGTGATTGGGGGGCCTGATTTGGAACGCCCCCTTCCCACGTTTATGAGAGCCCGTTGGGGGGGGGGGGGGTACATTGATTTGGTTTCGACGGGTCCTTTGGAGGGATTTTTCTAGAAAGTAAAGCCCATTTTTCACAAATTTGGGGTGTTTGCCATGCAAAAATTCGAAAATTGTATAAATCTTTAAAAAACGGACCCACGTTTAGGGATATTTTTGTGTGAAAAAGTGACCCATTAAAGCGGCACACCCTGTATGACTTAATATTTGAGTGCCCCCCCCCCCCCGGGTATGAGGGTTATGATGACGAAACAAAGACGATTTGCTTCGTTTTGTCACAACACAATCATCTAGAATCGGTAGCAAATATGTTTGTCAAACTTTTTAATAATTTCCCTTACTATCCATTCTTAATTCGGCCTTCCTTCGTTATGGATTCATTCTTCCTAGCTCCTTCGATCGTTTCCCTATAGGAGACCATTTAACTGTCATCTCCTCAAATATTGTTAGATCCATTCTTTGTGGCGTATCGTCTCGTTGAACCTCCGACGACCTTCGTTTCGTTTTGTCACAACACAATCATCTAGAATCGGTAGCAAATATGTTTGTCAAACTTTTTAATAATTTCCCTTACTTCCCATTCTTAATTCGGCCTTCCTTCGTTATGGATTCATTCTTCCTAGCTCCTTCGATCGTTTCCTTATAGGAGACCATTTAACTGTCATCTCCTCAAATATTGTTAGATCCATTCTTTGTGGCGTATCGTCTCGTTGAACCTCCGACGACCTTCGTTTCGTTTTGT